GCTGTAAGCTTGCTTTTGTGAAGGCAAGTCTGTAATAAACAGCTAGTATAGGCATATGCTGAATTAGCACCAAATAATACCTCCCTTTTTGCTTTGTAATCCATTAAAAGGGGATCGGCATGTCCTCTAGCTCCTCCTCTTCACATGCAATAAAATTGGGCACAGCACACTTTCCATCAAGCATGTTCACATGTAGTCTGTAAACTTCACGAATCCATTGTACAACAACACTCTGTTTGCATATTTGGTTCTCCTGGGAAGTAGGTTCAAGTCCCTCATCCAAGTCTGTCAGGGTGAAGATTTGACCCCGGGTCGCCCACATCCCAGGATGTGGATTCTATAGGGAAGCAAGGTGCCTAGCTGTTTCAAGGGTGAGCCTAAAGTCCCCCTTGTGTGTCTCGCTCTTGGTGATTAAATGCTTTTCAAAACCAGCCCTAATGGTGAGATTTTCAAATGTGCCTAAAAGATATATTTAGGAGCCTAATCATAGCCCCTTGTATTTGATAATCTTTGATTTGAGCCTTAAAACTAACAAAGCATTAGATGAGCAAGAGGAGTTTGCTACAAGTTTCCTATCAAGAGCTATTAGGGAAAGCAGGTCTTCATTGGATATCTCATTGCATAAAAGAAAATGGAATAGAATCCCATCTTAATGTTTTCAAACTTTGGGAGCAACAAATGCCCACCTATGCTGCTAATTATTCACTTCAGCCAGTAACAGCAGGGCCTATAGGGCAGAAAGACTACCGATGTGTCCTACCAATTACACTGGATTTTTTTTCTTCAGATGAGTACTAGAGCTTATTATAAATTAATGGGTACTGTCAGAGTATTGTTTTAGCCTGTGAGCTCTAGGAGTTGAAAACCAAAGCTACTGCTTGGGTGTTAAATATTAAACAATATTTCCTATACATAAATTTTGCCTAAAGAACACCATCTCTAATTAAATGATTTAAAAAAAATCCACCAAATGTAACTGCACAAGCAGCTCTCTCATGAACCTTGAGTAGGATGATTTCAGAAGACTGAGAATCAGTTTGGAGTTAGAAGCTGCTCACAGGATACACTTTACCTCGTTTACCCAAGAATTGGAGATTTATTAGAGAGATTGGTTGTATCCAGTGATGGTTTCTTTGGTATGAAACAGATGCTTCAGAGGGTAGTAGGTTTCCCTGGAGAGAGACACTACTGTGTTTGTGTGGATGCTCTTGTTTTAGAATAAATAATTAAGCAGGTTGCTTGATTAAAATCTCTATTAGCAGATGTCCTTCTGCAGGTCCCGCTTCCACCCCATTCTACCTACAAGTTTAACTGGATGAAAAACAAAGGATATTAATACTAGGGAAGTAAGTGACTAGTCAACTGCATTCTGTATCAGAGGCAGCAAAGGGTGGGGGAAGCAGGAGCTGTCTTAAAAGCGGGTTCCCACCAACACCATGTCCACGGGGTTGGGAGAAGCAGGGGAAGCAGAGTGGTCCTGAGTGCAGAGCGAGCCAGAACTGTTTAGCCTGGTGGGCTCTTGCTACATTTAAAGTACAGAGCCACAGCAGCCCCACCCCTCCAACTGACTAATTGAGTAGTTGGAAATGCCATCGACTACTTGATTAGTTAACTGATCCTTACCATCCCTAGTTAATACAGGAATTACTTAGCACCTTATTTCACAGCCCATACCTGACAAATGAACCAAAGCAAAGAATTGGAAAAAAATCTCCTACTAAAGTCCTCTTTATTCCACTTACAGGCAAATACCTTATGACCACAACCTTATCTCTGCCTTAATGATAGAGGTGCCAGTCCCCCATGAATTCTTTTACCAATATATTCTCTCCCCAACAGTTAGCAGGTGAACCCTTTACCAGATCTCCCCTAAACACTTTATGTGCAAAAGGGTATAAACAGAACCAAGGGAAGGCTATGATCGTTGGTCTGTAGTGTACAGCAGCTGTAGTACTGATAGAGTGCATGCTTTTAAATGGCGTAATTACTTTGTTTTTGCTTTGAGGGGGTGGGGAAGTTCTGTCAGGTATGGTGAGAGTAGCAATCATAACTGCTTCCCAGTGAAACTGTGTTAGCACTAGTATCCCTTGCATATAGGAAGTGGAAGTCCTAATATTATAACAAACATTAGTAGATGTAAAACATTCAGTCCATAACTTGTACCTTATTTCACAAGGGAGAGACCCACACTGCTGCTGTTACTACTCACTGCGTTGTCACTATTGGGAGCTATCTCACTTTCAAAACAGAAGAGGTGAGTAGTCCATTAAATCCAGACAATTGTCGGGGTTAAGCAGAGTTGAAGGTCCCACCCAACTGAATGACTAATGCATCCTTCTCATATGTTTTTTTCTGTCATCTCATGGGGGTGACAATAGCTGTACGATAGATTACATTTATCGGGCAGCTTTCTCCCTGTGACTTGTGCTAGTATGACTTACCATTATCAGCTGAGTTCTTCTCAAAATCTCTGAGCTAAGAAACTTGTAGGGAACTGAAACAAGTTAAATGACCTGGCCAAGGTAAAATTCAAACAAATCATTGCCATTTCTTAAATTAACTTTCCAGAAATGTTTCTTCTCAAGTAGCAGTTAGTGAAAGGCCTTAAATCAAATACAGTCCCCCATCCTGCGAGTGTGACCTTGTATATTAAACAGTTTTCAGTTGGGAGGCTGAAATCTTGTAGGGCAGCACACTATTAAAAGCACAGGCAGAGTTAAAACTAGTGTTTAAGTCTTCACAGCTCCCAACGGAAGCAAGGGCATTTCTACTGACATCCTAAGGATGTTACATTTCGATTAATCAACTAATGGAATAGTTGATGTAATTTCCATCAACTATTTGATTAGTCAGTAAGGGCGCCTTGCTATATTTGAAAAGCAGAAGCGCTGCGGGAAGCCTGGTTTAAGCTGGGGATTAAAACAGTCTCCTGCTGACCCCACGCTCCCTGCTTTGAAATGTACAAGAGTCCCAGGAGCTCACCCCAGGCTCCCTGCAGGACTCTTGCTACATTTCAAAGGCTTAATTAAGCACCGCCAGTTCCCTGCTGCATCTCTGCCCCTTCTCCCCATAGAGATGGTTGCTGGGGGGAACCAGCTTTTAAGCTGGCTCCCCCCCAATATGAAATCCTGCTACCTCTCTCTGATAGAGGCAGTGGTGGGGAGGCGGGAGGGGAGAAGCGACTAGTCGAGACACTAGTCACTTACATCCCTATGAGGTCCCCCAGAGAATTGTTCTTGAACCAGTACTATTAAGTGTCTGTCATTGATCTGGAAGAAAATTGATTGTTGGTGTAGTTTGCAGATCACAAATATTGGTGTAGTGGTAAATAAAGACAGGTCAGTTCTGTAAAGAACTATCTCCTGGTAAACTGGGCTCACTTGAATAGCATAGATTTAATGTAGCTAAATGCAAGGTAACATAGGATGAGGGACTATATTTTGGAAACAGTGACTCGAGAAAGGAGGAGGTAGGGGTGGTGATGGTGGTTAACCGATTGCACGTGAGCACAGACAGCAGTCTTGTGACCAAGAGAGCAAATGCAGTCCTTGGATGTATATAGGAGAGGAACAAGTAAGTAGAAGTTTAGCGGTATTACTATTGTTAAGGGATTTGTGAGATCATTACTAGACAATTGTGTCAACATTTCAAATGATGTGGACAAATTGGAAAAAGAGAACGACAAGAATGAATCCTGGTCTGTAATACCTGCCTGCTTTAGTGTTATATTAAAGCATCTTAATCTATTTATCTTTCTTTAAAAAGTTGAGGGGCCTTGGTCGTGGTGAGTAAGTTCTTAAGTGGAGACCTATGTGTGGCTCTTTAATTTAGAAAAAACGTAAGCTGAGAGTTAGACATTCAGACTTAATGCCTGCTTACCTGTAAGTGGATGGATTCTGTCAGTTGATGTCTAAATCAAGATTAGAGGTCTTTCTAAATGTGTTGTAGATCAACCAGAAGTTAGTTTTGATGCAGGAACTTTTAGAAGGGATACCATCACCTCTTTTATGAAAGGTGGTCCGACTAGAAATTATTGTAATGGTTCCTTTAGACTTTAAAATCTGTAAATGTCTGATAACACCAAGAAATACTATACTCCTGTATTTTTTCAGAAGAGCTGTTGTGTGATGCTGTTCCCAGAAACTCCTCTTTGGGCATTTTTTCCAAAAGTGAAGTTACTGTCCATAGGTGATGGGTATGAGGTTATTTGTGGAAGTACTAACATTCAGGAAATAGTTCAGAGACCATACAAAACAATCTGACTATATCAACCAGGGTCCCCAGCATCCAACTGGATGCAGACACAGGGACATCAATGAGATTTATATAAGTCTCTGATCATATGGCTATAGATGCAGGTTCAGGGCCCATGCTTGTAGATAGGTTTTCGGACATGACTGTAAGTATGGAATATGTGCCTCTAACTTGCAAAACCAACATTGATACTGCAGGCCCATTCAGTACATCTCCATTAGGAAATTGAGGAAAAGAGTGTTGACTCTTCAGGGTAGATGGCCAGTCCCGCCTCTTCCTCATTCCCAGGATGAGGATAGGTGGTTTCAGGTGTCCTTAAAAAAAATCCCATGTCTTCCTAGACACTTAGGTCAAGTAGGTATGCAAAACCAGCTACATTGAATATGTAGCTGGAGTTGGCTTACCTTAAACTGAGCTTGGAGGCATCCACACAGTGGACAGGAGTACAGGCGCCAGCTAGAACTGCCCTCAGCATTTTCTTTACGGGTCTAAAACAAACCCACTAAATCGTACACTGGAACATCAATCTCTGGCAAGTGTAGATGTTCTCTTAGAAATGCAGGTGGGTGAGCAAGAGACACGCACACCATGTTACTCATAAAACAGATGTTGAGCTAAAGGTCTATAAGCCCCAAAATCACCTTCATGAAATTCTTAGTATTATTATAGCTGCTATGGATTCCAGTCATTCTAGCATGAGCCATCTCTAGTTTTAATCATGCAATTACTCTTAATCAGACCAGTAATTTTTATTACAAAGCTTTTATTAAAAAAAACAAATGCTCAGCACATTAACTCAAACTGGAATGACAAAAAAATCAGTTGACAACATTTTTGGCAAAGGCTGTGCCTTTTAAAAAATGGGTACATCGATGCTCATTTTAGCAACTGGCATAAAATCCCACTAACAGGCTAACAAAAACAGGTACAAATACAGAACAAGTGAAGTAAATTCAAGTGCTGGGCTTTTTGTTGTTTTTACAAGGAAGAGGGAAAGGGGTGAGAAGAACTCACTGCAGTTGAATTTACTGGATGTATTGCTTATGTTTACAGAGTGTAAATGAAACAGGAGTGACATGTCTACTGACCACCTGACTGTGGTGTTACATTTATTTAAGTTCTCTAGGACACTCTATTACATAGACTGAGAGGCCACTATTTGTTACAAATAGTTTAACAAAAAGCCACGTTTTCCATACAGGTTTTTTTTCTTCTCCTCTGTCAGAAAAAAAAATACTTAAAAAAAATCAGATAGTTGAAGCTTATTTAAAGCTCACAGCTAGTAAAATATACACCAATGAAGTTAGAAACTAAGAGTTAAAATATAAAAGCATTCAAGTGTCTTAAAGCTAAAAACAAAATTGATCCTTTTGCACCATTAAATAAAAAAAAGTCTGAGCATCTTCCTCGTCCAGATGACTTCCATTCTTCAATGTGCTACATGTGGGTAGCTGTGTTCAGTTGGCTGAAGCAGGCAGAAACAGCTGACCTACCTGTTGCTGACTCAGTATGGAAACAGGAGAGAGACAGGCTTAGGAGTGCAAGGTGAAGATGAAAGATGTTCTGCCAACCTGAGCAATCTGAAATACTCATTTGCTCCATTCTATAATCAGGGCTGGGGTCCTGTGGTAGTGAAATATTTTGGCAGTGATTGTCTTTATGATTCAGTGTCTTTAGCAGTGACATCATGGTGAATTCAACATCCTGGAAAGACCCGTGGGGGTGGTCTGTACAGATGAAGGACACACCTGGGGTATTAACAAGCTTCCATCTCCAGAAGGGGTCCTGGCGTCGCTGCCTTTGCTTTGCATGTTGAGAACGCATTTCTTTTCCCACCTACAAAGGGAAGGGGAAAAAAATGTCAGCTATATCCAGTTTGCTTTAAGCAGTCGAGCCCCAAGGAGCCATCTGAACAAAATATATCTTAAGCCTGGTGTCTCAAACTCCCGTCCTGTGGGCCAGCCCTGGCCGAAGCAATTGCAAAATTCAGTCTGGCTCTCCTGGTGGGCAGGAGGAAGGCATGTCCGTTACTGAGCCCCAAGTCCCGCCATTTCCCACCACTGCCCTGCCCTCTCCCCCAATGGCATACTGCTTTAAAGATCACTAGGGGAGCCAGGTGCCATGCGGCAGCAGTGGTCAATTCTCCCCCGCCCCCTCCAAGAGCCATGGAGAAGTGGAATAAGTGCACCCATCCAGTGCTCTCTGCGGCTCCTGCTTCTGCAGAGAGGCTTGACCACTGCTGCTGCATGGTGCTAACCCCCCTGGTGATCTCCAAAGCTGTGTGCTTGGGCAAGAGGGCAGGACAATGGCAGGAAGGGGCAAGACTTGGGGGTTGGTAACAGATAGCCCCTGCCTCTCGGGAGTCCCGGACCAAATGGTGCAATCATTCCGATCGGGACAACAGGCCTATGAGCTGGGAGTTTGAGACTCATGTCTTAAATTCTCTAAAGGGTAAGCCATGCTGAAACTGTACGAAGGAAAGAGCGCTTTTGGAATAGCAACTTGGGTTCTAGCAGTGCTTTAGCTCAGAGCGGAAGCCTGTAAGAATGTTCAAGGGCTCTTGTCTTGCATTATATAGTCACCAGATTACTTTGCATTATCAATAGCTTGATAAACAACATGTAAGCTGTCCATCCTAGAATGTAAAGAAGTCAGAGTTAGAAAGTCAAAGTTAGGCTCTGTCTACACTGAGCATCTGGGCCTTTGCAGCCGAACCATTGTAAGGTGTGATGTGTAGTTGCTCTCTCCCAGTGACAAAATAGAACCACTTCCAACAAGAGGAGGTAGCATTGTCACTGGGAGTGCAGTCTATACGGCGCGTATCATCAAACCTTTTGTTGTATGGGAGGTATTTTTTCACACCCTGACTGACAGAACTCTGGTCATCTGAAGAAGTGGGCTGTGCCCACAAAACCTCATGATACCAATGTACATGTTTTGTTAGTCTATAAAGTGCTACCAGACCTTTTGTTGTTTTTTAGAAGTTTTAATGATAGATGTGCTAGTGTTAGACATAGCTTGAGAGAAATTATTCCCTTGCAATAATTGACCTAGATGTCTGTTAGAGGGTTAGACATGCCTTATTAGGACACTAATAAAGGTCAATTAAAACTGCAGCTTGATGCCTCAAGCCCTACTCTAGTTAGAAGTAAAAATATTG